AGTCTTCTAAATCAGACTAACATCACATAGGAATAGTATTAGATATGAGATCAGTATTACAGGTCAGGTCATTTCTTTGAACTTCTTTGAAATAAAACTTGAAAAAGTTATCTTTTGTCTTCCAATTGTCACAACCAAGAATGGTGTCCAGCGGCATATTTTTTTCCCATCTTGCAGATGCTACTGCTGATCGTATACTTCCGGGTGAGTGCTGGATTCCAGCTGCCTCAAAAGCTGTTCTGACCCAACCAGCTATTATATAGCCCTGGAAGCAGGTCTAACTTGTCCTCTAGTTGTAATAAAGAGGTTGTGAAGATCATCTCGTGCATTTCGACGATCTCTACTCAATTCTATCAGCTTCAAAGTCCAAAAAATTGGGTCCAAAGCTTTCTCATCATTCCTTAGCAGTTTCCAACCAGACTGTCTAGAGGAAACCTTATCGGTTTTCGAACCCCACTGTGGCCAAAAGCAGATAGAACCATCCTCTTTAGAAAAGTGTTTCTCATCTATCCTCAACAAAGTAAGATCATGGATACGACGACCTGATGCAAGAAGCAAGATAAGAGCTAGACTTCTGGAGACTTGGAACAAACTCGATTGTTCGACCTTCTCCTTCCTTAGCCAGGAAATTATGGTGCTAACACTCCAAATAACTGGCCTGCCCTGGTCTACCCTTTCCATCCCGATTGCTCTAATCATATGTTTTACCACCGGACTACTTGACAAGTGGTAGACGTCCAAGGGATCACTGATCAGGGTAGACACTACTGACTTATGGAGTTTAATCGTGGCCGAGGATAACTTTTTCACCCGTGAAAGAAATGATATGTACTGTGCCAAAATAGCAGGTGAAGGTTTATTTGGGATCAAATTTCCTCTCTTGCACCAAGCAAGCCACTGGTTCCATGGAGCAGAATAAGTTTTTAGAGTAGACTTCCTCCAAGAATTCTCTAGAAGGGCTATGTCTGCCTGCTCCCAACCTTTAACGACGCTGGACCACCCTGTACCTTCCAGGCCTCCAAACTTATCTTCTGAGCATTTGGTAACGGTTTCCCCGTGAGTGCATCCAACAGGTGGTGTTGCAGGTTCCGAATCCGAAAAGGAGGGGCCATTGATCTCGCCTTTATGTCCGGCCCCCAGAAGACCTTCTCCCATCTCGGTACTATTAGGATATAAGTTCCCTTGGCTGTGTTGAGATGGTTGAGTACTCTTGGGACTAACGCCGGTGGAGGAAAAACCCATGCTAACTGAAAGTTCCAGGTTCTGCTGAACGCGTCTATGAACTCCGCCTGCTGGTCTTTCATGTCCCTCGAGACGTACCTGCTCGTCACCTTTGATATGTTTGAGGCAAATAGGTCTATTTGGGGTTCTCCCCACTTCGAGAATATTAACTGAACGATATTCTCTGAAAGCGTCCAATATCCGCCAATATTTTCCTTCTGGACAAACTGTCCGCCATGTCGTTCAGCACTCCTGGGATGAAGTGCGCTACTAAGATCATTGTGTTTCTCCTCGCCAAACGTAACAGGCGACCCACGATCTTCGTCATCAGAAGAGACTTCGTTCCCCCCTGATTCCTTATGTAAGACACCACTGACCGATTGTCTGATTGGATAAGGATTGATCGACCCGTCAAGACTCTGGCACAACGGAGGATTGCAGAGTAAACGGCAAAGAGCTCTTTTACATTTATATGCCAGCTTAATTGGGACTGGCTCCAGCAACCCTTTATCATCTGGTCTCCCACCTGGGCACCCCAACCCAGATCTGACGCGTCCGTAGTTATGAAAATGCTTGGGCCTTTCTGAAACAAAGGAGAAGCCCTTCGCAGATTCGTCAACCACCATTTCATTTCTTTTACTGCAGAAGGATGAATGCAGAGGAACTTCGTAGGTCTTCTTTCTGGATGGCGATGACTGTATCTCTGCATGTACCTCATGTGTAATCTTCCGAGCGGAATCGCAAATGATGCGAAATTCAGCTTTCCTAGAATTCGTTTGGCAGCTTCCCAGCTCCAAACATTCCTTCTTATTAGATCCGAGAGATCTTTCTTTATCGACGACCTCTTGCGTCTCGGTAATGATACCTGATCCATTTTCGTGTCCCAGATTAAACCTAGGTACTCGCACCTCTTTCTTGGACGCAGGGAGGATTTCTCCCAGTTGATTAACCAGCCCAAACTTTCTAAAAAGGAAATCGCTATTCTGGTGTGATGTTCCAACTCTTCGGAGTTCTGATGGGCTAGCAGGAAGTCGTCCAGGTAAACAATCAATCTTATGCCTCTCTCCCGAAGACGACCCGCTATCCAATTCGATAGGCGAGCAAACGCGAGAGGAGCTGTTGCTAAACCAAATGGGAGGCATGTCATCTGTAGAACTTCCTGGTCGTGAACTATTGACAGAAACCTTCGATGCGATTGTTTTATTGGGATGTGAAAGTATGCCTGCGTTAGGTCCACCTTTACCAAAAAGTCGTCTCCTTGTAAAAAGGTTGGGACCTTCAGATGGTTTAAGAGGCGAAATTTTCATGGTAGCAGGTGTGCGTTGAGACGTTTCAGGTTCAGAACTGGTCTCAGAGTTCCGTCGCTTTTTGGAACGGCAAACATCCGTGATAGGAAGCCCGTTGTATGTGCTGATGGCTGTAGTATTCCCTGCTGCCTCATGATTTCTATCTCTTGGGACAAGCCGTGGGAAGCAAAATGATATAAATGCTTGCCTGAGAATCTTATTAGGGGAGGTCGCTTCACGAAAGGAATTGAATATCCCAATACTGTTTTTAAAATAGCGTCGGGTGCTCTTGCCGAAATCCAGGAATTTACGAACTTTTGCAAGCGACCTCCTTTGAACCCCGAACTGATGGCGTCATTTCTTCCTTTGTCTTTTTTGTCAACACCGCCCTCTCTGGGTTTATAAGAGCCAGATGAAGGTTGATTTCTTGATGAACGGGACTCTGACGGACGCTTCCAGGTATTCCTCGAAGGCCATGGTTTACTCTGTGCCCTGCCTCCTGTATTTGAATTGCTGCTGAAAGGAGGCTTTGCACCTTTGTAGGCATGCGGTGCCGCATACCCGGACCGAGCTGGCGCCCGAAAAAAATGACCATGCTGCTTTGCCAGCTCCGTAAAAGCGACTTCCTCGAATAAATGCGTAGACGACGGAGGAATCGCGTTAAACATAGGAGTTATAGATTCGGATTTTGGCCTGAAAGCTTTTCTTCTCAAATCAATAATCTCCGCTCTCCTGCCACAAGTGTACTGGAGAAGGTCATCACATCACTAATGGATCTAAATTCAGAATGACCGTCTACAAATATACTTCGAGCTTCTGATGCAATGGAAGGATATTTGGATATTAAGTTCTTCAGCGCCTCTGCAAAGGCCTCCCTTTGTAGTAGCAGGCCATGCGTAATCGAACCTAAAGTGGAGTCCGACCTTGCCAAGTGATTATCGTTTGTAGATGAAATCCCTAGAAGCTGAGGATTAACTTTCAAGGCGCTAAACACTGGGTAGGCCTGAAACTTCTTTTGCACCTCTGCGTATCTTATCTTGTTGAAGGAGGTACTCTCTAACCGCTGGCACTGAATACCCTGTTTTCCAATAGTCGGCTTTGGTGCCGGAACTAAAGGCTCCTGCTCCTTAGTTTGTGGCGTAAAATCCCATTCCATAGGAGGCGCATCCGCGATGGATGGAGCCTTCCACGAAACCTCATCCTCCTCCTCCTCTGAGAAGGGTTGTAGATTCTCCTTCCCATCATCAGAGAGACTATAGGAGCTAGAGGGTCTGGTATCATTGAGCCTGTCAAGAACCGATGCCAGCATATTTTTCAGATCTTCATTACTCTTTTCTAAGGCATCTAGCCTGGATTTCTTACTCGCCTTCGAACTTACTGAAGGGCGGGTATTGATACTTTCTGCGTCAGAGTCTGCTTCAAGCTGACGAGAAGCCTCCAGCCTGGAAATCAACAACGGCTTAAGATCGGTTAAAGCAGCTAATGCTAGTTCGTTCTGAGCTAATGAACCACGAATTTTAGCAGCCAAAGAAGAAGGGCCTATAATGAGGCCGATGCAGAAGGGCCAGTCCAACATCTTCACCTTAATTTCCCTGTATTTCTTTTCAGAGATAGATATAGCCTCAGGGTTGAACGCCTGGATAAGACCCACGGTGGGTAGGGCGTAGCGGATTTTATTTAGAATCTGAGAATCCATTTCACCATTAAGGAGCTCTTTCTTTAGAAGATTATTAACTTTCCATTTCTTCCAGCCCTCTGGTAGATGAGCTACTGCCAGCTCTTTAATTCTGGAGAGAATGATATTCTCGTCCTCATCATCTAACTCCAGCCGAGCTAAATCTTCTAAAGTGTGCAAATTAGACTGTGTAACCATCTGAAACGAAAAGAACCTGCGTTAGCAAATTCAAAAGGTTCGTCCTTGGTATTGAGGCGCCAACTGCAAAATCTCAGTCGACGGTTCATACCTCGAGCCAGAGGCTCCTGGACTGAGGAAAAAACGACTCCTCAGCCCGAGACAAAGGCTCACCAATCTGAGCCGACGGTCCGAAAGCCGGAGCCGGCGGCTCGTCAGCCCGCCGTCTGGCCAGCCTGAGCCGACGTCTGACCAATTTGGGCCGACGACGACTGACCAGTTTGAGCCGACGGCTCCCAGGAAAGAGCCGCTCGCAGCTTTCCTACTGGTCTTTATTACTTATATTATTCCAAAATAGGTTGAAAACGCTAGTTTTGAAATATTTTTCTCACCTTAGAAAAACACTAACACAACGATTCACTAAGTTTTAACTCGAACGGCATCGCCGTTAAAACGTACTTCACAAAGACACCTACTCGAGCGAAGTTGATAGCGTACTGACTCGGAATACAGCCGCTTCGGGTGGCGAGGTCGTTGCGGCGGCGCGGCTGCCTGACGACGGGGGGGAGTAAAAAAGGGAGCTTAGTTACGTAAAAGACACTTATGAAAGGGCGGGGATGATTGGGGTAATCTCACAAGGGTCAAGCCGACGGCACAGACCCTAAAATATTTCTTAATATAGGATATTCATCTGGAATATTGCTTGCCTTATCTTTTAAGGTTTTGTTTTCCTTCTTAATGTTACATAACATTTGTTTGTACCGTCTGGCCTTTTGTCTTTCTCTTATATACATTTTTTCATATCGCAAAAATTTAGATTTGCAGTCTTTATGAACATCAATGAATGAAGTCGAAGCTGTTAAGGTTGACGGTGACGATTCTCGAATATTTTCATCTAACGTGACAGAAAGGATGTCTGATGATGCCGCTGATGTTGAAGGTTCTGGATCACTGATACCATAATCCGTGGTTTGATCTAAGACATAAAAAATGTATTTTACATCTGCTAGTAGGTATACTACTATACACATTTTGCAATTTTAGAATAGCAATTTATATAACCAGTTTTGATGTTTGTTTACGGAAATTGTCAATGAAAAAGGTATAGGTACAGTAATTATTTTTAAGCAATTGAGTATAAACTTACTTAATTCTTGGACTGACGTATTTTCTGGTGTAGGTGCTTTTCTTGTTAATGTTGATTTGGAGAAAGCAAACATTGTCGGAACAGCATTACATTTTAGTACACGCTTTCCATCTACGCGGGTCTTTTCCCACATCTCGGGACCAAAGTGGACCTACAGAAATAACTAGTTATTTAATAATATATGTACTCCATGTTAATTAAGAAGTGTAAAAGTTATCTCCTAGGACATGATTAAATAAACTTAGAATAAACTTACTTCGCATAAGCGCATTGCATCAGTTGGTTGCCAGATGCCTTTTTTCATTTTGATTATCCATTCCATCCATTCCTGCTTTCTTTTTGGGTCCCTCGGAAATCGTTTCATCAAGAAACCTTTCTTTGCGGAATTGCTGCATCCTTCAGCGGCACACCCACCCATTATATCTAAAAACTAGACACATGTCCTTCGTCAAACAAACAAAATTGTATTACCCAATTAAGAAAATACTTACATTTCTATTAACTTTTAACACACTAAACTACGTCTTTACGTAGAACCGATTATTTGCAATACAAATTTTAGTTTAAACAGCACCTTTAATGACAAATTTCGTAAAACAAAAAACACGTGTAAAAATATTAGCGATTTACATAAAGTCACTAGATATAGAAAGTACCGCAATCATCCGCCATTTTTGGGCAAATTTGCTGCCAACTTAAAAAAATTGACAAATAAAATCTGAATAGCTGTAATTTTTTATAACCTAACTTCATAGTACTGTCATGTTTTATAAAAAATATATACAGGATCTCCAAACAGGTGGAACAATCCCTAACATTAAAGTTACTAGAATCTGGTAACTTCCGCCATTTTTGGGCAAAAATCATGCGTTCTTTCTCTAACACATGAACCCAATGGATTGCGGTACTTTCTATATTTAGTGACTTTAGATTTACAAATTGTGAGGCGCCCTCTCCCGACAGTTATTTGAGTTAGTATTGTGCTGTCAGCGTATTATCTGAACGTCAAAAACAGTTTCAAACGGTAATGTAAATCACGAATAGCCATGATTTTGCTCCAATATGGCGATCGGAACCAACTTCCAATCAAAAACGAGTACCGGGTTGTCGCCACTGTGCCTATAAAGTCACTGTAGTTGTAACGAGTGGTTTGATTTCGCGCCAAATTTCATTAAAAATTTCGAATTTCTTGTCATGATAGTGCAGGTCACCCTGTATATTTCATTATTTGTTCCGGTTAGAAATTTTGTGTTTGGGCATTTCGGTTCGCTCAAGACTATGGTCCGATAGATTTAATTTCGCTCAGATTTAATTTCGTCGTGGGAAGAGTGCAAAGCTGATTGACGTCATCATGAGTAATGCGAGTTGTTTGTCGTTAGTTTATTCAGCTTTGGCGCCGTCTGGACCGAGAATAGGAGCGGATGTAGCACCGAGCTATCAGAGATAAGGGCCCTTTCCACGTCGTCAACAGAAAACCGTGAGATCAGTTTGGTCAGCAGTTCTTGGAGGTTAATGACGAAGTTGGAGTGGGTTAAGTTTTCTTTATCTAAACCAATGGGAGAAGTTCTAGCGGGAGCCATTTTTGTTTTATGGTAATTTGGGTGTGGTTTTTTCATTTCAATTCTGAAGAAGGGGATCGTTTTTGAAAGACTCGCGGTTGGTACGTCGAGGGGTCGACACGTACTTTGAGTGATTGCGTTTTTAAAAAGACTCGCGGTTGGTACGTCGAGGGGTCGACACGTACTTTGAGTGATTGCGTTTTTAAAAAGACTCGCGGTTAGTACGTCGAGGGGTCAACACGTACTTTGAGTGATCGCGTTTTAGAAGAGACTCGCGGTTAGTACTTCAAGCGGTCAACACGTACCTTGAGCGATAGTTTTGGTACACTTGGCGGTTTGAGCCACCGGCTTATTTCGGTTGCTCCCAGTTGCGTGCTTTTTGCACCCGTTTCGAAGTGTTATTTTCTTTGCGCGTTGATTTTTTTGCGAAGAAGACCCAGGTTTCCAATCAGGTGATATTTTGGCGAACCCTTGAGCTTCACCCCAGTTTACTTTGGATGCAGTGAATCGCGTTAGGATACGTTGTGATTTCTCGAGGATATATAATTCAAAGTGCTGCCCTAGTCCTCAAGGCGCAGAATTTCGGGATCCGCCCCAGGTGGAATTTCCTACTAGTGCCGTAAGGTCATTTGTCGAAGGAGCGCTGCGTTTCGGAGAGATATTTGCCCCAAGAAGAGCTGGTGAAATAATACTTTGAACCATCGCGGTTTACCGTCGGATAGTGATCATAAAAGTTTGTGTTCTGCCGTACCGCTAACTCAAAAATCTGTATTCCGCAGGCGGTCAAAGCTAATAAACTAATAAAATAAAATTAAATACACTGTGCTGTGTAGAAACTTTGGCAACTAGCCGTCTCCCACTCGCCACGCGAAGGATTTCCGGGACTAAGTTTCCGTTCAAACACTAAACTTTGCTTTCGTTCCGAGGAAGGATAGGCACCGTGGATTTTTGGTTTCCGTGTGTTAAATTCAAGCCACCCCCCTAGGAAGTCACAGAGACCTAAGTGTCAGGTTTCATCACATCCACCCTGTACCAGAGGAAAGAGCAGTTCACAAGATCGGCTGTACAAATGTTGTAAAGGTTAGTCTAATTAAATTTGTAACATTCTGTAAAATTCCACTTTTTGGTAATTAAGCTATAGTAAAAAAAATTTTTGAGTTGATTGTTTATTAAAGTCCAATGAACGATTACCAAAGAGTAGGATAAATTTTTGTGTTTATTTAAATAAGTCCCAGCCCATGCTGGATTAAAAAACGATTACCTGTTGTTGCAATTTTCAAACTGTAGAGGATGGCCACCCCTTGAGTAAATTAGTTTCACCTGTTAGGATTTTTTAGTTAGTAGTTGTCATTGTTAAGCTAGTGTTTTTACAAGGAGAAGAGAAGAACTGCTAGATCCCTGTAAATTGATTGTATCGCTAATCTCATTTCAATATATTATCTATTTGGTTTCAATGTGCCTGTCTTTAAAGAAGAACGAGAGGAAGGAAAGGGAGGAGTAGGAGTTGAGGCAGGAGACTGGTAGGCGGCAGGTTAAGGTTTGTTACGCAGTTTCAAAGAGTTAAAAGCCCACCGATTTGAGTTAGCCGGAGCATTTATTTTTATCGATTGAGCAGCCTAAGAAGAGGACGGTTTGCCTTGCCGGGCGGAACCGATGGTAATTTTCAAGTCCAGAAGGAACCCCCGTAGCATTGTTGACCTTGTACTCTAATGTCAAGGTGAGACGGACTATGGTTTGGTCGAGATAGAAAAGGAGTCAATGATTTTTCTTGTCTTGTGAGTTTCTTTCGAAGGAATAGCGCTAATTGTAGCCAATCATTTGTTGTTAAATTATAAATATAATAAGTAACGTTTTAGTTGGTTGGAATTGAAACATAGGATTTTTCCTATCAGAGTGACTATAAATGTAACTAAAAAACCTCATTAAGTTTCTAGTAATATTCAATCCAATTCCTGTTTCGTACATAAATGAATAACGTTGAACATAAAACAAAATGAAATAGGTACTGATTGTAATTTGTTTTTACAATCCACAAAACCAATTTAAAGACCACTTAATAAAAAGTCCATCGATGTATAATACATTCTGGATAAACGAACAAATTGTATTTTATCAAAGTTTCATTAAAAAGCAAACGAGTTGTGTAAATGCATTTGTTATTCTTAGCGAATTAAATTAGTGTGTTTGACATTTTTCCTTTCTAAAATTGATTTACGTAAATAAACTGTCGACTACGTGGGAGTGACTACAGGAATACTCACCATCTACATCGCAGTTCACGCACGTGGAAGAAGGGAATGAAATTAATATTCTTCTTCAACAAGATTAAAAAATTGAACAGAATTCAAAGAGAAACAAAAGTTTCAAGAGCGTTCAAGGAGCGCCAAGAAAATTTCACAAATACAAGAAGATAACAAGATTCAAGAGTTGAATGAAGTTTCATGTTCGAGGATTAAAATTCGATATTTCAGACCAAGGACCAAAATTCAAGTCCCAGAGATCAATGATCAAGAGCTTTGAGATCCAAACTCCATGTTTCGGGCACCAACTCAATTAATTCTGCTAAATAAAATAGGAGAATTAATTTTCTTTCCAGTCTTTACACAGCATTTAGTGACAGAAATTACCCGTCTTTGTTGTGCCTATATGATAAAGGCTATATCACAATCCGAAACCCATTTATTAATAGGGATTTAATTAATTGGATTTTAATATTGGTATTGTAGTTTTTTGGATGTATGTTTTTTTTGTGTATGTATTAAAGAAGTACCGTGTTCTAGATGCTAACACTCATGGTGGGTTTATGTAATCATCATCATATTAGATCATTCGGAAATAGCCAGTAGAAACAAAAGTTTATTGTGCGTCGCTAACCAACGAAACCATAGATTTGTTTCTATTGGCTATATATAGCTAATGATAGTGAACTAATGATAATGATTGTAGAAACCCACCATCACATTCGTATCGAAGATTCCTACCTGTCGGTCAGCTGGAACTGATCTACCTGGAATTGCAAACATGCGGGTAACCTGGAATTGAGTATTTAGTCATTGAGTCTTCTTCTCCAACCTCCTCGGACGTTAATCCTACTTTCGACGAATTTCGAGGATGTGCTCCATAGACGTAAATACTGGAGTCCATAGATCCCATAAAACTTAACAGGCAATCAAAAACTGGGTCATGTTAGATTTGTCGATTTACTAAATTATTTATTCTTGCAAACCCAAAAGTAAACAACAATCCGCCGATTGGGAATTATTTCAAAACGCTCTGAAGCCAACAAAGATGTTATTTTATAAAGTCCTGCGAAGTATCTGTATCTTCTGATTTACTGTGGGGACTGTACCTTTTCAGAATCGTGGAACGGTGAATGGTGGTAGGTATACCAGATTAGTTGTTTACCTAAAGTGAACGATAAAATATGAAGGAATCGAAATTAGCCATCGGCCATTGTTTAGGAAGTAAAACCCATTACTCGTATTCCACTGATTCCTTTTTATTTGTAAACTCGAAAAATAAACGTAAAGGAAAAATATTAACAGTTGAATCAGTTGTTTCAAGGAATTGGTTTCTCGAGTTTGTGTTTCAGAATAACAAAAATGTTCACAAATGAAATTTCGCAAGTAGTGACATCAAAGGCAAGTACATCTTCATCGACACGTCGAGTTACTTTAAGTAATTGTATCAGTTCTGTTTTATCATTGAATATCCAACTGGA